CATCATTGATGTTTCTATCTCTCTTCCTTCCTCTCTGAAATTAATAAAAAAATAAATTAAAAAAATAGTTTAAAAAAGAAGAAAAGAAAAAGGGGCCACAAACGAAACTTGACTAGCTCAGGGAAGGCTTGTGCGGTGAGCCCTACAAACTTGGAGACCTAAAGGAACCACATAGGCTGGTCTGAAATGAAAACTTCCCAACAAAAGCAAGTCATGGAGTAGCCATGTCCTAGGCCTGAATCTCCCCTGACAAAGGGATCTTTGCCTGCCCACCTCTCTCTGCATCTACAATCACATACTTCGGAATGCCAGGTGCTTCCCTTTGACCAGACCCTCAGGTCATACTCACTGCTCCAGAACACAGACCTGGGAACCCCTGTGATGATGTTCATTGTTTTAACTGTTAACCATCCTGCACCTACCTAAGTACCGTGTTTCCCCGAAAATAAAACATCCTCCGAAAATAAGACCTACTTACAGGTTTCCTTCTGAGTGAAATATAAGGCATCTCCCCAAAAAAGAGCCCCCCCCCCCCCCCGGCTCTATCTCAGAATGAAAATTAATTTACCTTAAACGGGTCGCTAGGGCCACCCCCACTGGCTTCTATTATAGCAACCAGTGACATTACGCGGAGTCCTGACGTCACTGCTGTGTGGAGGCGGAGCAGAGGTCGGAGTGAGCGGTGAGCGATGGGCGGGAGAGAAGAGGAGACTTTTTCAGATGTGTGTAGAAGAACAGGAGGATTAGAGCAGACGAGAAGTGGCGAAGGTGCCGAGTGCTGGTCTGTCTCTAGTGACACTACCTGATGCTCGTGGCCACCCTCACGATGACTGAAGGTTCTTAGTCAGTGGCAGACCCTGCTCCAGCCCAGATCCAGGCCCCAGCAAGCCCAGTGACAGTCCCCAGGCAGGCCCCAGGGGGTAAATGTCTGATAAAGAGGTAGGGGGGATGTCTGGTGAAGATGTTCAGTGGCATAGGGGTGGGGGAAGGGGGATCACTTAAAATGACACAGGAGCATCAGAGGGGGCAATCAAAATGACACAGGAGGATCAAAAGGGGTTACTAAAATGGTAATCCCCCCTCTGATTCTCCTGTGCCATTTTGATTCCCCCCTTTCATCCCCCCTGTGTCATTTTAAGTGATCCCCCTCCCCCCACCTTGATACCCCAATTCCTTTTTTAAAAAATATATATATTTTATTGATTTTTCACAGAGGAATTGAGAAGGATGGAGAGTTAGAAATGTCGATGAGAAAGAAACATCGACCAGTTGCCTCTTGCACACCTCCTACTGGGGATGTGCCCGCAACCAAGGTACATGCCCTTGACCAGAATCGAACCCGGGACCTTTCAGTCCGCAGGTCGATGCTCTACCCACTGAGCCAAACCGGTCCCAGCCCAATTCCTTTTTTTTACCCCTAGAAATGAACGCAAAAAGAAAAAGCTACTCCCTGGAGTACAAGAAAGGAATTGTGGAAGACTCTTGGGGCCAAAATCTTACTGCTTTCTGCAAAGAGAAGATGCTGAGTATCCGATTGGTCTGAAAATGGCGAGCAGAGTATGGTAACTTCATTGAACAAGTGGACAAGGGAAATGCTAAAAAGCGCAAGTGTGGATCAGGTCGGCAGCCATTATTTTCCGAGCTGGAAGACCTGATCTGTGAATGGGTTGTTGACAGGAGAGCAAAGGCTTTGGTTGTGAATAGGGCTCAGATTCAAGAATTTGCACTTGCAATGGCACCACAGTTTGACATAGCCCCCCGAAGACTTCAAAGCATCACAACACTGGCTGGATAATTTCCTTCAGCAAAGTGAACTGTCTTTAAGAATATCTACAACATTGTTTAGGTTGGAAGATACTCAAGTTATTAAGCGAGCACTTGCATTCAAGTCCTTTATTGATGATGCTGACTTCTCTAAATACAATCTTTATTTTGACCTTTTTTGGCTACTTCCAGTTCCCTTGTCTTATGGAAATACTCCTGTTGCTGCTTCCTTGTCTTATGTAAATAGCACTGTTGCTGCTCTTTTGTCTTATGGGAATGAACCTTCTCTCCTTCTATAGCCCCACGTTTTTTCCCTGTCTCCAGTTGCCCAGGCTCACTCTCATGAAAGCATGAGTGTGGGGCCAGGTGGGGGAGACATTTACGCCAGGTCCCCTCTCCTCCTTCCCCTGACAGGGTCCTCCTGTCCAGACTAGCCCCCAACTTCCCAGCTGGGTGACTTTGGGCAGATTGTGCAATTTCCCCAAACCCCAGAGGCTGGGGCTGTACCCAGGCAGGAGGAAGCTTCAGCCTGCAGGACCTATGGTCTGGGCCACCAGTTGCTGACCACTCCTTGGACCTCAGCTTGCAGTTCCAGGTTGAAATAATCAGGACTTTACTTGGCTGTAAATGGAAGAAGTTGCTTCAGAGTGCCCCAAGCAAACAGGAACTTTCTGAGAAGTTCAAGGATAGTCTTGGCTTCCGAACTGGCTGGATCCAGGGCCTCCAAAAATGACAAGAGGGTCCCCAGCATCACGTCCACCCCGCGGCCAGCTGCACCACCATGAAGGGGATCAACTCATCTCTCCTGGTTTCCCCATCAGGATGCTGCGTGGCCCAGCCCAGGCCTCTGTCCTCCCCAAGAGCCCCCCCCTCCCCCCCCCCCGGGGGCTGGCCTCCCTCGCAGTGGCAATGCTTCAGGTGCCTCCACAGGGGTCCTAGCATTCCTGCTCTCCACAAAGGAGAGCTGTGAATCCCAGAGAAGGATGGGAGCAGAGCTGGACCCTGCTAGAAGCCCAGGGCTCCCTAACATCAGAGGGTCCGCTGACATCACCCGTCCTCACCTCAGTCACAGAGGGCGGAGGCTGGTCCGGGTAGAACGGCCTGGCCTGCAGACTGGAGCTCTAGCCCCCCCGCTGGGACCTTTGCACATGCCTGTTCCTGCCTCCCTCCTGGAATCTGTTCCCTTGGTTACTGCCCTGGCTCTCCATGGACCTGTACCAGTCCCCTCCCAACCCCAGCCCAGTCCTGGCAGAGCCTGGCACCCTCCCCATACCCCAACTGGAACTGTCTGGCTCAGCGTGACACTGGACACTTTGAAAGTGCAGGAGGGCCGGGCTGGACCTGTTTCCACTCAGTGTTGAACCCCTAGCACCAGGACAAGCAGGAGGCGCTCAGGAATGAGGGCGCCCCTGCAAGTGGAGGCTGAGGGGCGAGTGCAGAGGCTGCGCTACACCCATCAGGACGATCCAGCCAAACTCCCTCCGCCGGCCACTGAGCCTGGTTCCCCACTGGGCAAATGTGGGCGGCCGACACCCCTCCCCTGGGGCTGCAGAGCCAGCGGGAGCTAAGGAGAGATCACATCGGAAACGCTCTAGACTGTGATGTAAAAAGTTTCATTTTGTTCTCCACCGTGACAGGGAGGGTCTGTTAAGAGTTTCAGGATTTCTTTTTCTTTTTTTTTTTCAGTAAAAAACACCAGATGGCTTCAAAGTGCGCAAATGTTGGGCCAGTGCTCGAACCTCCCACGGGAGACCGCGGCAGGAGCGCATGGGGAGGGGAGGGGACAGCCGGGAAGCAGGGCGGGGAGCAGGCCGCGGTGAGTCACGGGCGGGATGGGCTCTGGGCTGGGCCCGGGGCGCAGACAGCGGCGGGACCGCCGCCGGCCCCTGGGGGGGGGGGGCTCCCCCGGCCCCGCTGCTCTCGGACCGGGACGTCCTGGCCTCGGTTTCCAGCTGAGCAGCGGGACCGGGCGCGAACACTGCCACCGCCGGCGCAGCCTAATTGTTTTGTTTGTTTATTTTAAATGAAATGTAAGCCTCAGCCGAGGATATGTTTTTATTGAGTTTTGGAGAAAGGAGAGAGAGAGAGAGAGAGAGAGAGAGAGAGAGAGAGAGAGAGAGAGAGAGAGAGAGAGAGAGAGAGAGAGAGAGAGAGAGAGAGAGAGAGAGAGAGAGAGAGAGAGAGAGACGCACCCATCAGCTACTCCTGTAGGCGCCGGACCTGGAATGGAGCCGCGTCCTTTCGGAGTAGGAACTGCTCCCCCGCCCGCCCCCCGCTGCCCCCGCCCGGTTCGTCCCCGTCCCTCTCCCCCCAGAGCCTCCGTCTCCTCCGCCGCCCGGGCCGCTCCCCCTCTGGGCGGGCCGGGCTGCGGGCTCCGTGTGCGCGTCCAGGTGCGCAAAGCGGAGTCGGGGCCGCGGTCACCCCGACGGCTCCGAGCCTTCCACCCACGGTCCGCTCCTCCCCGCGACCGGGTTCCACCACCGCCGGTTTACCCACTGGGAAGCAGGCACCTGCTCCAGCCCCCAGCCCGAGCCCAGAGACCCCAGCCCCAGCCCCCAGTTTCAGCCCCCAGCCCCCGCCCCCAGCCCCAGTCCCGAGCGAGCCCCCGCCCCCAGCCCCAGTCCCCAGCCCCAGCCCCAGCCCCAGCCCCAGCCCCGAGCCCTCAGCCCCAGCCCCAGCCCCAGCCCCAGCCCCGAGCCCTCAGCCCCCAGCCCCAGCCCCAGTCCCAGCCCCCAGCTCCCAGCCCCAGCCCCGAGCCCTCAGCCCCCAGCTCCAGCCCCAGCCCCCAGCTCCCAGCCCCGAGCCCCCAGCCTCCAGGCCCCAGCCCCCAGCTCCCAGCCCCGAGCCCCAGCCCCCAGCCCCGAGCCCCCAGCCTCCAGGCCCCAGCCCCCAGCCACAGCCCCCAGCCTCCAGGCCCCAGCCCCCAGCCCCCAGCCACAGCCCCCAGCCACAGCCCCCAGTTCCTAGCCCAGCTCCTCCCCAGGACCCGGTGCCCACCGCCCGCTTTCCAGAGGGGACTGGCTCCTGACCCCCTTCCTAACTTCAGGGGACCCCGTCCCACCGTTGTCACGACAACCGAAGGCCAATGGGGAGCAGGGAGGGAGGAGGCTCCGCCCCGCCGGGCCCCGCCCCGGCGGCAGCTCGGGCTATAAGGGGGCGGCGGAGCCCGGGAGCCCAGAGCGCGGGGCGCGGGGAGCGGTGTGCCGAGCGGAGCTGAGCCCGAGGAGAGCGGCGCCATGTGCGGTGAGTGCGGCCCGCCGCCCCGGCCTCCGCGCCGAGCCGCCGTGGGCGCCGGGCCGGGAGGGGCGCGGCGCTGGTCCGGCCCCGGTGGCTGGGGGAGGGGATGCCCGGCCCCGGCTTGTGCTTGGAGAGGCAGCCGTCCGCTCCGAGGGCGCTCCTGGACGCCGCTCCCCGGCGGGTCCGCACCCCTGCCGGTGAGGCGCTTCCCCTTCTTGCCCCCGGTCTCCCACAGGGCGGCCGCGCCATCCCGGCGCGGGGTGCGGGCCCCGGAGACGCGCCCCACCGCCCCCTCCCCGCCCGCGGCAGAGCCACGCGGGGCTCCGGGTGCGCCCGCCCCGGCCCGCGCCCCACCCGGCGTCCCGTCGCGAACCTCTGGTCCCTGGAGGCGGGACTCGGCGCGGCCGCCGATCTGCTGGATGGAGCTCTGGGCGAGGCGCGGGGACGGGCACGACCGCCAGCTCCGCTGCACCCGGAGGGGGGCCGGGCCCGGAGGGCCGGGCTCAGGCGCCCTCGGTCCAGGCGCCCCGCCGAGGGGCGGGCATCGCCACTCCTGGCCCCGGCCGCCAGGAGCTCCGCTGGACAGAGGGCTCTGTGCCTCTCCGGGGGTTCGGTCACCGCTCCGGCCTCCGGCGGTGGCGGCCGGGGCCTTTGAAGCCGGGAAAGGCCTGTCTGAGTGCGGAGGGCGGCGGGTGCAGTTGTGCGGACCCCATCTCCCGCCCGGGCTCCCCTGAAAAGCGGGAAGGGAGCCGCCACCGGGAGCGGGCGGCGGCCTGGGCGCAGCCTTCGGGGCCAAGCAGCACCGATTCAATGCCCGAGTCCTCAGCGGAAACGTGTGGGTTCCCAGCGCCGTGGGTGATGTGGGGCTGCCCGCGGGCAGTTCTGAGGAGAGAGCCCGGGCCAAGGTGCCGTTTGATCAGAAGCCATTGGGTTCCAAACCCGTCAGCGTGGCAGTCAAGGCCCGTGGCCAACTGGTGGCCTTAGAGCCAAACTAGTGCTCCGAGACCCTGGCCCCGGGAGGTACCCTCTGCCCACACCCTTCCATCCGCGCCATCCGGGCCTTCCATCCTAACGCATACTGGCACCCCCCTTTCTCCAGGCTTGCCCTCCGACCCTGGGCTGGGGTGTCCTCCACCTTCTCCAGCTCGCAAATTACGGAAACTGGAGAACGGACGAGCGGACAGTCCAAACTCTGACCTCACCTCAGAGCATGGCCTTCGCCACACCCCACGCTGAGCCCTCGGGAAGTCTGGGAGCTCCCGTGGAACCCCCAAGCGGAAAGCTGTTTGCTTTTCCAGTGGCCGGGAGCCTCTCTGACACCTGCCCCTCAGTCACTGCGCGTCTGGCTGGAACTGAGCATTCTGGTCTGGTTCTCTGGAGTCTGTGTGTGTAAGGCAGATGATACAGGTTTTCCTTTTACGGCTGTTTTGTGTTGAATTCATTTTAGGTTTTCAAAAGTATAATCAATTTTACAGAAAAACCTTAAAGAAATGTTTGTACATTTGGTACAAGGATGTGGCAGAAATTTCGAAGGTGCACCTGGAATGAGCTACTGATGCTCTTCGTTTTACATTTGGGGAAACTGAGGCCCAGAGAGGTAGGAGGTGCTTGAAGTCTTTTCTGTGGACTGGCTGTGACCTGCCGCGCTCTGCCGCCTCGGCAGTCAGCAGGCACCCTCCGCTGGCCTCCGTTAGGTGCTGGTGACCCGGCTCAGACTGGCCCTGCTTCACAGAAAGCTGGACCCAGGACCGGTTGACCCCACATGCAGTAAGCAGATGCTCACAGCTTCAGTGCTCTAAGCCCTCAGCTAGGTGGCGCACAAGGGTGGTGTTATTGACATCCGGGAGCTGCTGGCATTTTGCTTACTTTCTGCCAATGGATGGGTTATTCATGGCATAGTCCCGCCCCACCTCCTTCCTTTCCCTCTGTCCTTTCTTCACGCAGCCACGAGTGGCTGAGACCCATGTTTTCCCAGCCCTGGGGAGACTTGTTCATAGAGAATTGGAGGATTCTAGGTTTTTGCTTGGATAAGGGGTCCATAGTTGGGCAGTCCAGAGGCAGATCCGGGACTAGGGACCAGGGACCAGGTAACTTCTGAGGTAAATGCCACCACAGAGAACAGAATGGGCACAAGCTGCAGCCTGGCAGTCTCAGGCCAAACCAGCAGGCAGACATCTCCCTGTTTGGTGCACAGGATTTAAACTTTATTCTTTAAATTAGTTACCAAATTAGAAATAGGGGCGATTGCTCATAAGGAGGTGGAATTTTTTACTTCTCTTGAAAAAAATCCAGAGATGAGTAACCCTGAGTCCATATTTTTGAATAGTGCATCGTGTCCCCTAGGCTGAGGCGTGCAAGCCCCCCAGTTTTCCCAGCCCCCACCAGCTGTTGGTGCCCATGTAGTCTGAGCTTCAGGGCGTACTCACTGGCCAGGAAGAGAGGGTACAGGGGCAGTGCCACAAGGTCCTGGCCTCGTGTGAGCTCTGCAGAGAGGAGGGGGTGAGAGGTATGCCAGGCTGAGGGCAGAGCATCCGCAAAGGCGTGGCAGCATGCACGTGTACACATGGGGATCTTTCTGCGAGGATTGCACTTCCTACCACGAGTTCTTAAATCTCGCCTCTCCTTCACTGCTGGGCAGTGGGGAGGGGAGACTTGTTCATAGAGAATTGGAGGATTCTTAATTTTTGCTAAAAGGTAAAGCCCTTACCCTGAATTCGTCCTTTGTCTTGGTTAATGTATTAGTTTCCTCTGGCTGCTGTAACAAATTACCATAAACTTGGCTGGTTTCAAACAACATACATTTATTCTCTCACAGATCTGGAAACTAGAAGTTCAGAAATCAGGCTTACTGCGCCAAAGTCCAGCTCTCCGTAGGGCCCCTTCCTCTGGAGGCCTGGGGGAGAATCTGTTCCTTCCTCTTCCGCTCTGGGCTGCCAGTTTTTCTTGGCTTGTGTTCCTCACTTCGATCTCCGCCTCTGTGGTCACATCACTCCTCTTCCAGGAGAAGCTCCCTCTTAGAAGCATACTGATGACTGCATTTAGGGTCCACTCAGATAATTCAGGATAATCTTCCATCTCCAGATACTTAATCAGTTTATTTATTATTAAAATATATATATATATTGATTTCAGAGAGGAAGAAAGAGAGAGAAACATCAGTGATGAGAGAGAATCATTGATCGGCTGCCTCCTGCATGCCCCACACGGGATGGAGCCTGCAACCAGGGCATGTGCCCTGACCAGGAATTGAACTGTGACCTCCTGGTTCAACCACTGAACCACACCAGTTGGACTAAATACCTTTTTTGATGAGAAATCAGGTGTCATCCTTATGGGAACTTCTTTGTAGGTCACGGTTTTCCTTTTTCTTGCTGCCTTTATGATTCTCTCTTTGTCTTTAATTTTTGGCATTTTAATTATGATGTGTCTGGGTGGGGGCCTGTTTGGGTTCTTCTTGTTTGGGGTTCTCTGTGCCTCCTGCACTTGAATGACTTTGTCCTCTTTAATTGCTCCCAGGCATTGTCTTCAGGTGTGGGGAGAGTTGTTTTTTTCAACAGGGAGGAGCAGTTGCTTCTGCTTGGAGGCTAATTATTATTTTTAATCTCTTAAGTGGCCAGGGCAAGGTGCTTTCTAATAGGGCACATAGACTGCTCTCCCCCCAGACAAGGCAGATGTCTATGGGGAAAGATGTCCTCTGCTGCAAGAGGGAATGACTCAGCCCAGGAAACTTGGGGTGCCTGCCTTCTGAGTTCTACCCCCCCCCCCCCCCCCCGTCCCCGTCCCCGTCCCCTGTCCTGGCTTCTGCTCTCACAGCCCAGTCCGCTTCACCCTCCCTTTGCCGGAGCACAAGATATGTGGCTCCACAGGGAGTTAGTGTGCTGACCCTTTAAGAGGGTGCCTGAATTTTCAGCTGTTATTCCCTGGCAGACAGCACCCCGCTGCTTTTCACAGCCAGATGTTACCCTTCCAGTTTGGATGCTCTCTGCTTGGGGATTAGATCCCAGAGCTCTGAGTGGCACCCCCCCTCCCCCCCGGCTGAGATATCTCTCCGGGACTTCGGTTGCTGTCTGTGGGTGCCCTGCCAGCCCTTTCGCGCTCTGCCCGTCCTACCAGTCTCCATGCGGTCTCCACCTCGGTCCTCGGTATCAGGGTTCTCTCCTGCGAGTTTCCGTTGATATTCAGGAAGTGTTTTTGTATTTTAGTTCTAATTCCAGTTTGTTCCTGGGAGCTTGACCGTGCAGCATCCCCTTACTCTGAGAGTCTCTTGTCCTATTCAATGTCCCTAAATACCCTTCTCAACAGGAAGACTCACAGAGAAATTCTAGCAGTCAGGACCTGATGTTTTTGAATCATCCTGAGACAATTGGGTGTTGCTTTCAGGTGCCTTCCCCAAGAGAAGCCCAGTGCTGCCATCCTCGATGCCCACGCTGTGGCCACAAGGATACTACCCGCATCCCTCCCCACCCCACTCCACACACCAACTCCCCGGGCCCAGCACGCTCAGCCGGACCGCCACAGTCAGAGATGGACCTAGGCCTTTCCTGGATGGTGTGACGTGCCGTCTGACCAGATAGTTTCGGTCCCTGTGCCATATAAGCGTGGCCCTTCTTATAGGCACAAACCCTTCCCACTCATCCCTTCCCGGCGGAAAGCAGGCATGGTCTTACCGCCTGGATCCCTCGGGGCCAAGACACCCACACGCCGTCTGCTTGCTTGAGCTGGCTCTTCGGGGCCCAGCGGAGGAAGCAGCAGTCCCGGGAGGTGCTGTGACTCAGGGCAGAGCTCACCCGTTTGTCGCCAGCTCCGTCCGGCCCGGGGCCCTTTCCTCCCGTCACAGTTCAGGGTGTGGACAGAGGTCTCAGGAGGACTGGGCTGGACTTGATGGGGCACAGACACTGGAGTCAGGTCCAGTGGCTTGTTTCCTCTTAAGCCATAGGAGCCTCAGGAGCCCAGAACTCAGTGATGGCAGCTAAATACGTGACAACAGTCCCTAGCTGGTGTGGCTC